AGCTCAGTGCTTTATAATCAAAATTATGTAACATATATTTCAAACACTGATACAACATTAAACCAGCTTTCAGTTTTGATGACAACTATAACTACCAATTAGACAGACATGTAGTCTATATGCAAATAAACATCTTTTATTATGAAATGATTCAGCCAATTTATTTCAGAACTTCAAACAAATGCACAATCTATATTGTAGTTGTAAATTTTGATTGTAATCTGTCAAGACATGTCAGAGACATGGTTCTAAAACAACAATTGTTAATACAAAATGACCGTCAGTCAGCCTTTTAAAAAATGATCTGAAAAACAAAATGACATGGATCAAGGCTTAAGATCAGTTCAGGGTCTTTGGGGTTTTTCATATGGTGGCTTCTGCGCATGCGCCAACCAAGCGTCGGTTTATGAAATAAATTATCGTCAGCAGTCCTTGACTGCCCAACCTTATTCTCTGTCTATCGCTTCTTTGACTTAGCCTAGTTTTGACAGTTCATTTAACTTGAATTTAACCATTTTGATTGTCAAACAAATGCATTTACATATGGGTGACATGATATATGTGCAAAGTTTGAAATTGAACAGTCAAGGGCATGTCAGAGATATGACTTTCAACATCATTCATTACAACAAATGGAGACCAGTCTGCATTTTTAAATCAGATCTGAAAAAAAATAATTATGTATACCAAGGTATAATAATGTCAAATTTATGTTTGAGCAAAATCCGTCTACATACAGAACAGAACACAGAAAAAAATTCCTCTATACATTGTTCAAATACTCACCTGACTATCAAACATTACCAAATGGAGAATTGTTTATTAATGTTTTCTCTAGTGTAGACAAATATATTTGTAGTATTTTAGCTAATTTTGTTTTTCAGATTTTAAAATTATTTTAGATTAGTTGTGACACTGTATGTTTCTTACGTTGGACTTTACTCAAGCATTGTTTTTGTGTACGTTCCAAATAAAATATCCTATCCTATCCTATCCTATCCTACAATGCTTGGTTTAGATGATTTTGTAGCACAAGAACGGCAATCATTCAAGTAAGCTGCAGATCTGTACTCAATTAAAATTGTGTGTACAAATCTGAAATAGAGTTGATCGACTTACCCAACATTAACAGAATGGTCCAGGTTCTCACCACTGAATGTACATCTTGCAGCTAAAGCATCATTACGCTGAATTTCAAAGTCGCTATCCATAGGGTAAAAAGCCTGTCATGTACAAAGTAAAGATTAATTGTCATGGCAACTACCTCACTCACAGAGATTCCCAGTGGGACATTTGGTATTTTCATTAATGCTTCCTATTTATTTTCACTTCTAGATGTTTTAGTAATGTGGTTACTAGGGTTCGGAATGTAAATCACTAAAGCTGTGTTATATATACAAAATATACAAAACTGGTGTTTGAATCCATTGACTGGAGACTACAAAATCTAAACCACTTATTTTGCTAAAAAATTATTTCTGCAAATTTTGGAATCAGGTAAAATCAGGAAATTGGAAAGCAATGATTATGCAATATTGAATCATCGTAACATGAAACATTGTTTACAGGATATTTTATACCTGTGGCCAAAGTGGGTTGGCTTTTCCTAACAATGACCATCGTCCATTGCGTACTCTGTAACCACTGACCACTCTACCATGGTTATGGGTGTGAACACGGAATGCAAAAGCATGGATTCTATGTCTTTCCTCATATGGACAGTAGACATCGGAATGGACATCTGAAAAAACATTAAGTAATACAAGTAGGATTACCATAAAAAAAGTTCCTTGAAATAATTGAATTGAAAATAATTGTAATTAATTTTTTAAATATTATTTAATCTGGAATTTGATGGTTGTGGTATTTTCTTTATAGTCAAGCCAACAAGAGAGGGCAGTAAACCGCTTTCATAAATCAGTGAATTGAAAAATGTTGTAGCAGTGAAAAGTTCAGAGTGAATCACAGCAACTTTCATAAAATGTTGTCTACACAATTGCCATTAAACTAGAGAGTATTTGATATGATAAATAGGGGTGAGCAATTTTTTGTTTTAAAAATGAATTAGTATGCAAGGAATTCAATCCTAAATTAAACATGTATATGGCTTACCCAAAAACCAAGTTTTATGAAATCAGTTGAGTGATTATTGACAGAAAATTGCCTAATGCATGCAAATTAGGTAATTAATATGCATAGATTTCAATCTTAAAGTAATCAAGTCATTGGATTATACACAAACATCCATGTACCAAATTGCATTTAAATTTGCTGAGAGATACTGGAGATACTTGTGGTACACTTATAAATTGCCTAATTTATGCAAATTAGGTACATGTATTCCTGTATTCAATATGCACCAAAAACTAATCAGGCCTGTGCATTGTCCCAGTGCATCTATGTACCAAGTTAAATTATTGAAACTCAACAATTGGTTCTTGAGATATCGGTAAAACAGACATACACACATAGACAGACATGGTAACCACAAAGATTTTGTATGCTTCACATGCAGGAGTTAATTAAAGAGTTAACAGTATGCAAAGCACTATGACAATACTTACTTTCTTCTCCTGGATTGATGTTGACATCCATGCTGACTAATAAGTAAATACCAGCTATGAACCGCTGACTACAACACACATACAATTTGAAAAATGAGAATGGTATAATAATATTATCAAACATGGTGGGTATTTAATTTATTAGTGATGAAGAAAACACAATGGAGTAAGCTTTTATCTAAGTTATAATGTTATATAATTAAGTGTATACATATTTACTTACGGAGTGTATGTCATAAATAATTTAACTCCAGATGTA